CAGCGTCCAAAGAAAGTTGGCCATTCTATATTTTAAATCTAAGTACATTTTTTAGTATATCTTTTTAAAACCTTTTTCCCTCAGCACGATTGCATCAAAACATTGATTTCTGATACTACATGTGCATTTAAATGACTACTTCTTATTGCTATATGATACTTCATGTAGCTCATGTCTAAGATTTTGCCTTTTTACTATCTCAGTGATACATATACAACCACACCCAGCACTGCTTCAGCACAACATTGCTGTAATGAACACACTTTCCCTATGGGTTTCTGTAGGAGTCAATCCCGGAATCTGAATAGTTGATACAAGTTGTGTGTTTATCTTTAATTTTTCTAAGTTTTCCCCTGTTAGTCTCCAGAACGTCTGCACCAGCCTAAACCCTCAAATTGCACTTCTCTGTTCTTACATATGTTTCAATACTTGTTTTATCTAATTTTCTAATATTGCTTGTTTGCACAGTAAAAATATTATCTTGCTGTTATAATTTATACATCTTTGATTACTAAAGCATTTGAACAATTTCATTTCTTCCTATATATTAATATTCATGGTTTCTCTTTTATATCCCTTTCTCCATTTTAAAAATGGATTTTTTTTGCCTTTTTTTGAGTGATTTGTAGGAATATATTACATATCCTTGATAAATTCCCATGTCATTTTTCGGCACTGGAAAAATCTTGTAAACTGTAATTTGTTTATTTTTGCTAATAGTGCACACAATTGCACAAAATTATTAACTGTCATTTCTTATTTTGTAGTTTTCTGTCAAAAATATTCTACATTTCCACATAATTTTAAAGTTTCATGTTTTGCTTTTAGATTATTAACCCACCTGGAGTCCACCTTTATATATGTTGGTCCAGTTTCATTTTACACTATGTTGAGCTGGGTTCTCCAGTACCACCTACTAAACAGCCCACTGTCACTGATTAGTGTGGCTACCTTTAGTCTGTGTTGTTATGAAGTATGCATGAGTTCAGCTCTGAAGTTTGTACCATCCTTATTTTACATTTATGTTTCTTAGCATTTTTCAAAGGTTTTGTGTGCAGGGTTATGTGTGATAGAGAATTAGGTTTATTTTGCTTTGTTTTTTCACTGATGACAACTAGATCCGATAGCCAGACTTTAAAGACATAAATTTTACAATGTAAGACATTTTTCTAATGGCTAAAGCAGTATGAAGATGGAATAAACTGTCTTGTTGGCATCCTTGTCATGAAAGTATTGAAAAATTTGGATCTCCACATACTAGAAAATTCCAGGTAAATTGGCATTCAGAACACAGACTTAATTAATTGATCCATATCATTCACTGCTTCTTTGAAATACTGTGACTCTATATGTGAAGAACAATTGGAGGTTAGCTGTAGGTAACCTGGATAATAACAATATGGCCTTTAAAGTGAAAAAAAATTTTGTTACAGAGTTAGAATAAAGAATGTCAGGTTTCAAGTAAGCTTCGAGGTATCCAACCTACTGTTACTGCCAGTATTAATGGATTTCTGGGAACAATGATTTCCAGAGCAAGAGAAAGAAAGACACCAGATTCATAATGCCTATGCAGAGAAACTCATTATGAGTGGCCAGATATTACTGCAATAATGTGAAGGATCTATTTCAGTTATTGAAAAGATATCAGGAACTACTCACTGTGAAATTCATATACCACTAGAAAGAATTATCTAATTACAATGAAGGACAGCAAGAAAGGATGAAAGGAATAAAATGATCCATTAAAACATCCAGAAAATAAGAAAATTCTGATAGTAATTCTTTAGCTACCAGGGATTGTTTTGAAAGAAAAGAAATTCCTCAGTAAAAAGACAATGTGGCTGAAGATATAAAAAACATGAACATGCCAATTACAAGTAAGGAGATTGAATAAGTAATAAAATGGCCATCATAGGAATGCCAAAGAATTAATGACTTCAATGTTGAATTCTACCAAACATTTAAAGAACTAATACTAGCTTTTCAAACTCCTCCAAAAAGCTGAAGATGAGGATATACATTTATATTTTTTTTGTGAGGCCAGCATTGTCCTGATAGTAAAGCCAGAGAAGAACACTATAATAAGGAGAATTACAGGCCAGCATTCCTGACAAACATAGGTGCTACAATTCTCAACAGAACATGAGCAAACTGAAATAAACAGCACATTAAAAGACTCATTCATCACGGTAATTTATTTCTGAAATGCAAGGATCCTGAACATACTCAAATCAATAAACACGATATACCATTTTAACGAAGTAAGGAACAAAAACCGTATGATCATCTGAATGATGCAAAAAAAGCATTCAAAAATATTTAACATCCTTTTGTAATTAAAAAATGTCAAAAATTTAGATGTAGATGGAAAGTACCTCAACACAATGGAGGCCATATTCAGTAAGCCCACAGTTAACATAACACTCAACAGGAAAAAACTGAAAGCTTTTCCTGTAAGATCAAGAATAAGAAAAAGATGCCTACTTATGATACTGAACACAATGCTAATGTTATGTAAATAGTTGTATTGATTTTATTTTTATTGTTGATTTTTATTTTTTTAACCAAATAATTCTGATCTATAGTTTATCGAATCTATAGTTTATGGAATCATGATTGTAGAACTCATGAATACAGAAAACCAAATGAATATATGCATGTATATACAACATATATGCCACATATAACTATAAACCATAGCAATGTGAATGAATCTTAAAATTTTAGTATAAAAAAGGTGTAAATGTAAGTACATGCAGAAATTTGAAAAGTTATTATTTGGGAATGTTTATACTTGGATAAAGGAAATGGAAAAAAAAGAGAAAGTATTGTCTCCATTATATACCAGGATCCCTGCTACATCCTTTATATTTTATATATGCCTCAACAAATTTTTAAAATACATATGGTTACTTTTAATTCCATGTGGTAGTTGCAGGAACTGAGGTTCATCTAGGTTGGTGATATTTTTCATGGATATATAATTAGTAAATGGATCAGTGAGGAAATTAATTAATTTGTTTTCTAGGGAAAGCTATTTCTACTACAGAGCTTCTGGAATGTGGAGGAGAGACTATAATTGTTATCAATTTATGGACCCTCAGCATCAAATTCATTCCCTAGTACGTGCTCTGTGCTGATAGAAGGGATTTTTAAAAAATATTTCTCCACTGTGAGCATGCTTCAAGCTTTCTCAGGAGAGGATGCAGCAAGGACATTACAGGAGGAAGCAGGGCTTCTCCATTTTCGGGTGTGGCACAGGAGGGGATTAGACGGTATTAGCAGTATGAGTTAAGAGTATCTGGTGAGGCTCCACCACACTCTTGGGTCCAGAATATGCTGGATCCTTAAGGACCTTGAGCTTCAGCCTGGCAGTAATCTCTATGTGACTCTGTTTACATGAAAACTAGCATCTAGAGGACAGTGTACTCATGAGTCCCTGCAGGGCTCCTACCCACACAAGCAGATTCTCTACATAGGCTACCCATCACTGCTACTTTCCATAGTCTGCCCGCAGCCCAGGGCTTCTCAGGCCCTCTGCAAGCTCGTATCTCCTGATGTGCATTACTTGCTTACCATGTGCTCCAGAGGGGTGCCTCTTGTTTCCCAGTGAATGCAGACAATATTTATCTATTTAATTATTATCTTTATTTTATGAGTTTTAGTAATATATAATTGATGTAAAACTGTACTTATTTAATGGATATAATTTCTTGAATTTGAACATATGCATATCCCTATGAAACGATCTCCCCAATGAAGGTAATAAAGATATCAAGCTAAGAGTAAGAATGAATAGGAAATTGCACAGAAAGGCCAACTATTGTTAATGTCATAATGTAAGATATACAACAAAAATATTGTGAGTAAATATTATTGAGATTTTGTTTGGAAAGGAAAATCGATTCTAAAATCAGGAAACCACTGTGAATAATTTAATTAAGCTAATTAAAAAAGGCGATGACCTTGCATAGTTATCATTTTTGTGGTAATGTTTAAAATCTGTTCTTTTAGTAATTTTGAAATAAACAATGTAACACTCTTTATTATAGTCACCCTTTTGTGTAATAAATCACTAAAGTTAATTCCTCTTACCTTACTGAAATTTTGTACCCTTTGATCAACAGCCCCCATTCCCCACCCACTCCACTTGTCTGGTGTATGACTTATTGATTGATTACATTTTAGTAGAAAGCACTGATGTACACAGCACAAACATCAGAGTAGTCCAATTGTTGTTGACATCCAATTGTTAAACTCGAGTCTTAAACACAAACAAACCTGAATTTAAGAACTGAATTTAACAATTGGACATCAACAACAAAGAAGTTGTGAAACAAGGAAATTCCCTCACTTTAAATGGAAACTCAAAAGTTTGTACTATAAATTTTAAATGATACATCTTACATAACTGACCTGTCAGAAGTTTAACAAAAATTTTTCTTTCAAGGAGAGAAGAGAAGGTCATAGATTACCTAGAAAAGGGGGAATGGTCAAACTTTTCTTCAGAGAGAAGAGGGTTTCAAGGTGCAGAGGCAGCATGCAGAAATACTCAATTCCTTGTCCAAAAACCGTGATTAGTAATTTTCAGTAAGTATGACAAGAAGAAAGAACACCATGGTATTAGGAAAGAATAAGAAGAAATGATGATGATGATGATGATGATGATGATAATGGTATTAAGAGCATTGAGTAGAACTTCGTATTTAATAGATGACTTCCAAGACCCTACAAGAGCAGAATGATAAACATACATTTATAGGCCAAACATATTTTAGTGTTGTGTAATGTCATGGACATGACATGAAACTATGGAAGATAAAATTATGGTTGTATGAGCGTGTGTGTTTAAAACTTGTATGTTTGTTTTCCTTTCAGGCATAAAAATATTCCTAGGGAAGCTATAAGCAAATTATGAATTCCAAAGAAAGTAGATGTACAGAGAATGAGTTCATTTAGGCAAATGATTACAAAATGAGCAAATTAGAGCCCATGTGAGGATGACCCATGCATTCCTGGAAGTATATAAAGGTCTTGGAAGAGTAGAAGACACTCACACTTCAGAGACATCCTCCTACACCTTCACTGAAATCTCACCTCCTGACACCATGTGTTGCAACTACTACGGAAACTCCTGTGGGGGCTGTGGGTACAGCTCTGGCTGGGGTTCTGGCTGTGGCTGTGGCTATGGCTGTGGCTATGGCTCTGGCTATGGAACAGGCTGTGGCTATGGCTGTGGATACGGCTCTGGCTGTGGATGCGGCTCTGGCTATGGAACAGTGTGTGGCTATGGCTGTGGATACAGCTCTGGCTGTGGCTCTGGCTGTGGCTATGGCTCTGGCTGTGGCTATGGCTGTGGCTATGGGTCTACATATGGATTAGGCTCTCGCTATGGCTGTGGATACAGCTCTGGCTGCTGTGGCTACCGACCATCTTACTACAGAAGATGCTATTCCTCTTGCTGCTAATCATCACTGCAGATCATCCTTGTCTTTGCAATGACCTCTCCAAGATTAAGCCCAGTTGAAATCTCTCCTATCTTCACATCTAAGTAAAGATTGACTATGGTCCCTTGACTATCTGAATACATAAAAGAGAAGTTGTTTGCAGTGGATGGAGACTGAGTAGTTTCATGACATAAGTGAAGAGAGGAGATTTTATTCTGATTAATTTTCTAGTGTAAGTAATTTTCTAATGTAAAACTCTCACATCTTTTTCTTCATTTTTGTGCCATGACTATTTGCAGAAACGTAAGAGGGGTATATAATTGGAGCATACTAAAATGGAACAAAAATAGAATTTTCTTAATAAAAGGCTTTACTCACTAAGAAGTCTGGTCTCCTTAATGTCTCCTTAATTTGAGGGTTTGTTGCTTCCTTAAAAGTCGTGTGACTACAACTTAAAATAGGAAAATGTTATTTTGTTTGCTGAATCCAAATACTGATGTTTTACATATTTCTTAGTTCTTTGTATGTTAATTCTTTACATTTTTATTTAAACAAGAACACAAATATTAAGCTCAAAATTTTAAAACATGCATGAAAAAGAATTGGAATAGAGTCAAGAATGAGACGGGGGGCTGGGCGCGGTGGCTTAAGCCTGTAATACCAGCACTTTGGGAGGGCGAGGAGAGTGAATCACCAGGTCAAGAGATTGAGACCATCCTGGTCAACATGGTGAAACCCTGTCTCTACTAAAAATACTAAAAATTAGCTGGGCATGGTGATGCGTGCCTGTAATCCCAGCTACTCAGGAGGCTGAGGCAGGAGAATTGCCTGAACCCAGGAGGCGGAGGTTGCGGTGAGCCGAGATCGCGCCATTGCACTCCAGCCTGGGTAACAAGAGCGAAACTCCGTCTCAAAAAAAAAAAAAAAAAAAAAAAAAAAAAAAAAAAAAAAAAAAGTACGGGGAACTACTTATACTACTTATACAGGTTAATATACTAAGGTTAATATACTAGTCCAGCAATGACTGTCTCGGTTGAGCTTAAGTCAAGGTAATTAAGAGGCAACACTATTAATTTAATGTTAATAGATTTTGAATATGTAAAACAAGAAATCTTGGACTAAGCAGATAAGGTTACTACAAGTGCTCAAGATGGTGAGAAAGATCAGGGCTCTTTCACTTTCCCGCTCCCCACTCTGCTGTGTGACATTCATACTCATTGTTTTAAAGTGATTGCTGTATATGACCATCATTCTACACAAGTAAGGACAAATGATAAAGAGCACCAGGTCTTTTAAAACTTTGTTCTTGGCCGGGCGCGGTGGCTCACGCCTGTAATCCCAGCACTTTGGGAGGCCGAGGCGGGTGGATCACCAGGTCAAGAGATTGAGACCATCCTGGTCAACATGGTGAAACCCCATCTCTACTAAAAATACAAAAATTAGCTGGGCATAGTGGCGCGTGCCTGTAATCCCAGCTACTCAGGAGGCTGAGGCAGGAGAAGTGCCTGAACCCAGGAGACGGAGGTTGCGGTGAGCCGAGATCGCGCCATTGCACTCCAGCCTGGGTAACAAGAGCAAAACTCCGTCTCAAAACAAACAAACAAAACAAAACAAAAACAAAAAATAAGTTTGTTCTTTTATTTGGGAGGGGATACTCTTTGTTGTTTGGACACATGTGTACTGAGACCACTCTTAGCTGAAAGTCTGTAAAAAACAAAAAGTTTGTGGTCAGCAGTTCTGCTAGTCAGTCAACTGTGTACGTCCAAAGTTTGTAGGTCTTGGGGAAAAAGAGAAAAGGACCAATGACTGAGAAAGCAAAATCTCAGTTAAATGGCCATATGTTCTTGCAGCAATTTGAATTTGGGCAGGGGTGCAATTTATGACTTTACTATTTTTTTCTTCAAGTGTAGAGGTCTGAGCTTAAAATAGTCTCTTATTTATATGATATTGCTGTTTGTCCACACATGGCTCTTTTTCTTTTCTTTTTAACATAGTAATTTATTTATTCTCTCCTGTTTCTCTTTTATTTCCATTCTCGCACCCATCTCTCATTTAGAGTCACCTTGTAATTTGTTATTTTATATGCAAATACCCCATTGCATCCTGTCTATAGCCCCCAAAAGTTGGCCATTCTACTACATATTTTATATCTATTTAAATTATATTATTGCATATCGTTTTAAAACTCCTTTTCTTTTAGCACAATTTGTATTGAATGATTTATTTAACCTAAAAATGTAAAGCAAATATTTATACACTTAAAGAGAGATTTATAATACAATAATAGTAAAGGGCTTTGATGCCTCACTTTCAACAATAAACAGATTATTCAGACAGAAAATAGGTAAGTAACCATTAGATCTGAACTGCAGTTTAGAGCAAATGGACCTAATAGACATATATAGGACATTTTATTCAACAACAGCAGAAGACAATTCTTCTCAAAACACAGGAAAATGCTTCAAAACAAGTATTAACATACTTAAGAAGATTTTTTTTTTTGGTTTTGAAATTTGTTTCAAAACAAGTCTTAACATATTTAAGAAGACTGTGATTATATTAAGTATCTTTTCCCACTAAATGGTTTGAATCAACAAATCAATAATGGAAGGAATTTTGGAAAATGTAAAAATATATGAAAACTAAATAACATAATCATAAACAACAAATGGGTCAAGAAAGAAAAAAGAAAGGAAAACAAGATATCTTGAAACAAATGAAAATAAAAGCACAACATATCAAAACTTTGGGTTGCAGCAAAGGCAGATTTAAGAGGAAACTTTGTAACAATAAATGCTCACAGTGACAAAGAAGACAGATCTTAAATAAACAAACTAATTTAACACTCTGAGGGAAAAAATGGAATAAACTAAGAAAGAACAAAAAGCGGAGCAAGCAAAATCTTAGGTAAATTAATATATGTCCTTACATCAACTTTAATTAGGGCAGGTACACAATTGATGTCTTCACCAATTTTTTTTCTTATCATGTAGAGGTTTAATATACTCCCCTATTCATACAGTGTTATTGTTTGTCCACACATGGGTCTTTATGTGTTTTAAGATTTTGGTAACATAATAATTTATTTATTTGCCTTCTATTTCTTTTGACTTCCACTCTCATCTCTCATTTACAAGCCATAGTCATTTATCTCATATGCAAGCATCCTATTCATGTTTTCAAAGTCCAAGAAAGTTGGTCTTTTTATTATATATTTTAAATCTATGTAAAGTTGTGTTTATATCTTTTGAAACTTTTTCTCCCTCAGCACTATTTGTTTTGAAAGAACTCATTAATGCTACTATGCATAGATTTAAACTATTTAATGTTCTGATTGTTCGTTGGTACTTTATGTGGTTCATACACAAGATTTTGTTCATTTCGTGTTTTCAGTGATGCACACACTTAGTCACACCCAAGATAAATTGTTTTTTCTGTGAAAAAAAAAATGCAAAGATTCCAGGCTTGATGGTGCACACCTGTAGTCCTAGCTATTCAAGAGGCTGAGGTGGGAGGATGCTTGAGCCTGGGAGGTTGAGGCTGTAGTGAGTCACGATTTCATCATTGCACACCAGCCTGAATGACAGAGTAAGATCCTGTCTCACAACCAAAAATCAAACCAAACCAAACCAAAACAAAAAACAAAGAAACATTTTCTAAAGGCTAGAATACTGTGAAAATGGAATAGCTGCTGTAGGACATTTCTATCCTGAGGCCGTTGAAGAATTTGCATCTCGGTTACTAGAAAAACTCTGAATAAATAAGTGCATTCAAAACTTGGGTTAATTAATTCATTCACATCATCACTTTTACTTTGTAATTTAATGATTCTGTAATAAAAAATAATTGAGTTGGGTCAGGGCAACATGAATAAGAATAATGTTACCGAAAAAGTCGGAAAAATTGTGCTCGATTCTATTGTAGAGTTAGGAAGGAGTATGTTACGTCAAGGTGAGCTTTGAAGCATCTACCTACTGTTAGCGTCAGTATTCTGAATTCTGGGATCGACAGAAGATGTGACTCAAAGCAGGGAAAGGAGGATGAGATCAGTAAAGTCGCTGAGAGGGAACTCATAAATGTGTTTAGAGATTAATGCAATAAGTAATACGGTCTATTTCAGTTCTGAAGGATATAGGGACCTATTCACAGTAAGATGCTGAAAGATTATGAGATATATGGTAATAGTTTCAGCGTCC